ATGTAAGGGATGGATAGTGAATGTTCTTGCACGAAATAAATTTCATGCAAAGCGAGTTTGAAGAGAAATTCTTACCATAAAAGCGCTTGGTTCATATCTCGGCCTACGACTCAAATATCGAGTTCGTTGAACAAATGCCGAACCAAGATTCAACTTTTGACCGGAATCTTGTCATAAAATCGACGAGGGTGAAGATCTGCCGTGTTCTGTAAGCAGCATCTTTTGTTCTGCGCTGTCTAAAATGCAGGCAGATAATTTGTTCATTTCGTAAATGCGCGAACAATGGCCGATCTGTTTTAACATTACAAACCTGACTCCTTGAGTTCGGTTTTCTTCATTTCAACATCATCCCGGGTATCTTCAATATTAGTTTCCTCATCTTCTCTACACGATGCGAGGCGATCTTTGACAATATCTACAATCAATGTACGCTGTCTGTGCTCTTGCTAAGAAGTTCTGTTGTAGTTTCAAGGCGTTGTCTGGCTCCTTCTTTAATGAGTTCGGCCGATAAATCATCTGAAATACAACAATATCAATTTGACATTCCGCCAACAGAATGCCCAACCGAAACATTGAACAGGTTTGACCCATCGTTGACAAGTTGTGGGCGAAAACATTCAGAGCACAATTTGACTGAGAAAATAAATGGGCTTACCAAAGAGTTGTTTTGGAATTAAACTTTCATAAATCTCAGTCTTTCCCACCGCTGGTCGTCACAAGATGTTTGAGTCACAAGATTTCTGTACTGAGCCTACGGTACCAGTGGGCTTTAAATCGCGGGTAAGAAGGTCAGATGCTTTGGTATCGAATTTGTGTTTGGCACCTGGCTAGAATCATCTGCACGAGTTTTTCTATCAGTTGAAGAAGCCTGGAAATGACAAACACGTTCCTAAGAGCTTTCACTAGAAGAATATTAAAACTTGGTCGCTCTTGCAAATATATCTATTGAAAATTCAGCAAGCAATCCCCCTGGCAAAAGAATGACATGTGGACTTACTTTCGTAAAAAATGGCACGAATTGTTTTCTTAACAATAGCGGACAGTTGACAAACCAGGATGAAATGACATTATCAGCAAGAGCTACAGTGTATTGAGAGTATCTAAGGTGAAACATATCAGTTCGTTTATATTTTAATCATTTTGACAAAACCAATAATAAAAAGTTTCAGATGTTATCGCGTTGAGCCAACTTCGATGATTCTGTGTAAGGCAAACATATTCCAAAGACTTGTTTCAACTGGATCGCTGTGAAGTTTTTGTACAAAGCACAAAGCTGTTACAATGCGATTTAAACGATTTAAAAGAATGCTACCAACTTTTCGCCGAATACGATTGTGTGTTTACACAACCTAGCTCTCTTTAGGGGGTACATTGATATTTTGTAACAGATTTCATAATTTACGTAACTTCAAGAAACATACCAGAGGGAAATCCTAGCAGTGGTATGGCAACTTGAGTCGTTGGCGAAAGTTTAGTAAACTTTTCCAGATATTGTGGGAGCAGTCTAAGGACAGAAAATTTAGTAATTATTACTTAAAAAATCATATATTTGTGAAGGGGTATCTCGCATCACAAGAGACGTTACGTTTAGGCTGGAGTTTATTGAAAAACGTTTCTGTAAATTCACTGAGCACATCATCAAGGCACGATTTCAAATATCTCCAAAGAAATAAACTTCTAAAACGCTGCAACTACTTAAATCAACTTCATTCTTACAAAGTGCTAATGGACATAAAAAAGTCTCAAATTCCAGACTATCTTAAGTAGCCATACCTTGCCATAACTGAAGGCATTTCTAACATACATATGGTGAGACAAGATACGCTTAACGTCGCGAAATGAGCAACCAAGTACGCATTAGACAACACTAGACGAAATATACAACAACGTTTAAGCAAGAACAGACAACCGCTGAAAATAAAGTCCCGCAGATTCTTACCTGTTCATCTTGACCAATAAAAATGTGGTACGTACACAGCTCCGTTATTACCTGCACGTGTTACAATAAAATATCCAATTAAATCATTAGTATGGTATGATATAATTATGGTATAAATTGGTTATGGTATGGTGTGATATAATTATGGTATGATATGCATGGTTATGGTATGGTATGATTTCGTTATGGTATGGTGGTGTGATATTATTATGGTAAGATATGGTTATCGTACGGTATGATTTAGTTATGGTTAGTTATGGTATGATATGATTATATGATATGATTATATGATATGATTATATGATATGATATGGTATGGTTATGGTATGGTATGGTTTTGGTATATTTATGGTAAGATATTATGATATATGCAAAAAACTGATTGATAAGAACCGTACTGGAAAAATTCTAGCGTACAAATGAGGTCGGCGCATATCATGAGGAACACGAAATAATCCAGGAAGAAAATCGTAATTTGAAACCTGAATGCAAAGTAAAATTTTTAGTTCATGATTTTGGTGTGAAAGTACACAACTTCACTTCCCTTCCCATTTTAGAGAAGACTGTAGATATTGAACGTAAATATTGCTTTCCAGAAAGTATCAAGTTTTTATCTTGCAGTGCCTCTGGAAAGTTCCTCAGAACAACATCCATCACTTCCCATTCCAATTCCTAGAAAATGAAGAAAGTTGAACTTCAATCTTAATGCCAGATGATATATTATGATAGAAAAGTTTACCTGTTGTAAGCACACAAGAATAACATTCATCGCCTCGCTGTAAGGCAGTGAAACAATCCCGTTTGTCTTATCTTCTGCAGAACTAAAACAAAAATGAGAATGTATTACGCAAACAAGAAAAGGATTTTGAAGCAGAATACCTGACATACGTGGCACTATCGTCATTAACCAACCTTTTTTTCAGAACAAACAAAATACGAGTGAATTAAACTTTTCTACTTTTGTCTTGCACAAGGCCTAGACGTTGTCAGCTCGCAGACTGAGGAAAAATTGAAGAATCTTTAAGAAAACACAATGTGAGACATCATAAAAAAATCGCGAGAAATAAAATTGAATTTTCCTTACCGAAAGCCGTATTTCCGATGCACTATACGTCCGATAGCCATTGTCATAATGAGTTTTTATGTGGTACACTAATATATTGAATATTCGTTCGGCTCGTTCTTGAGGTTTACGAAACAATTTCATGTGCAAAAATAGAATGAAATTACTGAAAGAGAAGCAAGTGTGGCATTAAATTAAACTTATTTTTGTTCACGAAAATAACTTCATCACAATGAACGAATATGTGTGGACAATCTCTGCATGTCCTCCATTAACTTGAACAAGCGTACTAATCCTAATACAGCCTCCTTGATGTCTTTCTATGCTGTTTCATCCTGAGGCTGCAGCAACAAAGACAAATTACAGTGATTAGATGTAATTTTATGTCTCTAGATGTTCCTACATATACCTTGCAGTCTCAATAATTACCTTACATGTTCTTTACATGACGGCTTAACGTATCGCTTGAGAGGAACAACTGGACAGTGGCAATCTGGAATTGATAAATGAAATATATATCCTTTTACTTCACTGATGCGTTTGCATTCACGACCCCCGTGTAAAACGATCCAATTTGCGGATATATAGTTAGGTTCAGGTCAGGAAGCTTTCACTGATAAGAAAGAGTTTTCTATTGAAGTACAGTATCAGCTCATCACGAATGAAGAGGAAATTGGAGTGGAGAAATGAAACCGTCTGAAAATGATTGTATTGAGTACCTTCTCGATTATATGCAAAACATCGCAAACTTTCGGTGAATCAGAGGATTCAATAACATCGACCAGAAGCTGGACAGCTCGGATCCGCACAGAAAATCCCGATCTTTGACAATGTGGTCTAAATGTGACAACACTGAATTCTCAAGTATTTCTTCCTGTAAAAAACAAGGAGTTATAAAACTAGAAAAAGATTTCATAATATCGCTAATGTCTAGAAAAATGGACTAAAATTTATTCAAAGTACTAAAATTTTATACCTCATATAGTGGAGAAACGTTCCTAATATGTTACAAAGCACATTTAGAGCTTTAATTCGGTTGGCCGTCCTCTCTTCACATCTAAAAAAAATTCCCATTAGGATAAGACTGAGGCTACATAGAAATACACCACGAACTTAAAAAAAAATCAACATACCAAAATATTACATTTTTACATAACAAAATATAAAGAAAAAAAAAGAAGACCACACACTTGAAGTATTTTCTCCACCAAATCTTTAATATTTTCAAACCAGTTTTCGCAGTAAGATGAAGAGACTGGGAACGATGAGAAACCAGGAGAATAACTGAGGATTACTGCAAACAACGACATTTCATTTAGCTGCAAAACAACGACATTTTATTTAGCTAAGTGGATTCCGTTAGATTTCATATATTTTATTAATTTTGTCCTCAAAGAAAGTCATAAAATTGTTAGCTAGATTCTCATCAGATTGGCACACAGAATATTGAGAATCAGGGGTATAATGTAGTAACTTTCCAACGGTTTTAAATAATTTCTTTTGGTCACTCCCATTATCTCTAACAATTTCAGAATAATAACGAGTACGACTTTCCTATAATAGCTCACTGACACGGCGACATTGCTGACTGTATTTTAGACGATCACAGGATTGTCTTGACTTACGCCATACCCGCTCGAGTTTCCTTCTGATACGTTTTCTCGTTTTTAATTTGTTCAGTGTACCAAGGTGCAGCTGGACGAATAATATCTCTCTCTGGAAATAAGTGGTACATGATGATCCAGAATTTTGGGCAGCTCCGAGTTGTACTGGTTGACTTCGCACTTATATCAGCCGTGTTCCCAGTGTTAATTCGGAGATAGCCTAATTCATTAAGGAACGAGTCCATATTGATTGCTTTAATTTTACGTGACTCCACGACCCTTCTCTGAAACAATGGTTTTTTAAAATTGAGTTCATATGTAACCGTGTAATGGTCAGATATAGATGGATCATGAACGTCAATAGATTGAACAATATTTTCCTCATGGCGAGACAAGATAAGGTCTAACGTGTGACCAGCAAAGTGTGTTGGTTGTTTGTACACGTTGTTCCAGATTAAAAGAATCAACAAGATTGAGAATTTTTTTTGTTGTTAATTCCGACTTATCGTCTACATGGAGGTCGATATAATACGATTATATATTTAGAATTTGAGATGACACATTGATTTGCATACCCATCACTTCGAAAGACTTAATGTGTGAGAACATTTTCGCCGAGTCCAGCTTCACTTTTAAAGTGTTGTTGTATAGTATACCAATGCCTCCCCCTCTACCTTGTTGTCTCGAGATATTGTTAAAGGAAGTAGCCCTTCGGGGTGAAATTCCCAAAAAGTATATGATCAAATTTGTCAGGTGAAGCCAGGTTTCTGTAATCGCAAATATATCAAATTCATTCTCAACCACATAGTCTTTGACTAAATTCGCTTTGTTCCGAATAGACCGGCAGTTGAAGAGACCAAAAGAAACAAAGCTGAGTAACAGCTGTATCAGGAGTTGGCAATGCCTGATAAAGGAATATTGATGAGATTGATTCTCTTAATTAAATTTCTGCCATATATATTTACAGGCTTTGGGACACGGTCCGTGATTCTAACAGGGATAGCTTCCTGATGATTTGCAGGATGATAGTGATTGTATAGTGTGGCGGTGGTGTTTGCGAAGTAGGTATTATAGCAAATATTCCTATAGGTCATATGGAACAACCAACCTTTCTGTAGATTCAACTGCCCAAGCATTGAACTAAGCTCCTCAGGATTATTAGCGGGTCGAAACGTGTTCATCAAACGTAACTGCTTTCGATGTTGATACATCTCATCCGACTGATTATTATCAAAAGATTGAGGACCAGGATTAGACGAAACATCCACACACATTGTTAGATCCTGCTTGAAGGCTTCGTACACAGGACTAGACTAACAAATCCATGTTTCGTTTCTTTAGCAATCGCAAATGAGACTTTGTATTTAGATTCAAAACCAACTCGTTGTATGTTGACCCGACATCGAAAAGCAATATCTCCACAAATACTCAAGGTTATGCCATCCGCAGCCAATCCATCCAAATCCGTGCAATTAGTACTCTTAAATGCCATATTAATTGGTCGATATGTACGAAACTCGTTAGATGAGATAAATATCATAAAAAAATATATAGAGCTGCCGACC